AATTTTATCTTATAACTACGCGTTTGTAAGTTATTATTTTTTTATCTTTTTTTTTTTAAATCATACTAAAAGTTACTCACGCTTATCAATTAATCACACAGTAACTTTTTATAATTCTTTAAAAAAAAATAAAAATGAGAGAAGCAATCAGGAATGTAATGTTTTTTTTTCCTAAGTGAGCGTGCAATTTTTATTATTATGAGAGAAAGGAGGATAAATATAGATCATATAATTATATATACATTTTATTCTAGATCATTCTATTTTATCTGAAAAAATTAAATTCAATACTAAACAGATTTATAATAACTCACGTCCTACTCCAATTGAATTAGATCCTCTTATAATCTTCATCATATATGATAAATATATAATAATTATTATTTATTTCTCCTCACGTTTATATGAAAAATATATATAAAAATAAATAAATAAACCTTCTCCCTATAGTCTATAAATAAACGATAAGTATGCCTGCAATGCTGTGAAACAGGTTATAAAAAAAAAAATACGAGACCACACTGAACCTGACCCACCCTCAGAAAGTATAAATAATTGGGAAGAAATTCTAAATTACAATAAAGATAAAGGAAAAGAATTCAAATCAAAATCCACAGGACCTCAACAGAGGAAGAGGAAGCAAAAAAGGAACATCAAGTTCCGCAATTTCCTTAGCCTGTGTTGTTGACCAGAGAAAGAGAATTTGAATGGCATTGTGAAAAAACAAAAAAGGAATTAGACTATAACTCGCTTAAAAATGAATTAACAAAAAATTATAAAGACAATCAAAAATACTTATATTTTTTATAAGATTAATATTGGGTTTATTATTATTTAGGTTCTACGTTTTAGAATTCTGAAAATATTTTTCATTTTATATTGGTCATGTTATTGTATGAAATAACCACTATAATTAATTTATAAGAGTTAGAATAGTATATATAATATTATAGATTTTCGTGATAGTGACTTTTTAATAAATAAAAAAACTATATAATAGGAGTGGTTCAAAATTGGGAGGTGCAAAGAGTTTTTTTTTTTTTTTTTAATATGTTTAAGATTTTTAATTTAATTATATGATTACTTAAAGTTGTTGTTAGTGTTGATTGTTTGAAAATTCTAAAGTCTAGAAATTTTGAGAGTTAAGTTTTCTCTGTAATAGAGAAATCATAATTAAGTTATTTCAATATAAGGTAAAATATATAATTTTTTTTTAAGACATAGATCTTATAAGTTTATTTCTGAACTCAAAATCTTCTTCTCCTTTTTTTAGACTAAAAACTCTTTTCTTCTTCCTTTTTACAGTTGATTTGCTTGGCTAAGTTGAGGATTCAAGGCCTGTAGCAAAGAATCTTAGTTGGTGGAAGTCGTAAAATGACTCGAAGTTTATTTCTTCTCTTCTCTTCTTGGTTTGGGTTGATAAGAGGTAAGAGAATCTTTCTTATTTGAATCATTTGATGTTGAATGCTTCTTGTTAAGGTCTGAATTCATTATATGCATGTTTGAATTAGTATAGATTGTGAATTGAATATGTTCTAGAAGGTGCTCTTGAAATGGTGTTCTTGAGTCACTTTGAATTTTTGAATTTTGTTGGTTGCATGTAATGTATGATGTAGTTTTCGAGTTGTTTATCATACCTAGATGTTGTATATCATGTTGCATGTTAGTGGATTTCTATGTTTCAGGTAAATTGCCCAAATTGAGTGTCTGCATAAGTGCAAAAACTGGTTTTGCATTAGGCGTCATTCAAAGTCAGGAGTTCTCATTCTCTTGACGTTAGACATAAGAATGGTGGCATCAAGTGTGAGAGGAGAGAATAGTCTCTACCTGGATTGAAGTCGAGCACCAATGAAGTGACCTTCGGCGTGAATCAAGTAGAGGCCCTCTACTTGATTGGAGCCAAACATGGGGTTTTTCCATGTTGAGTGCAAGAGAGTGGGAGACTCTCTACCTCAACGATGCCAGGCACGAGTAGTTTGGCATCATGCGTGAGCAAGACAGGAAATTCCCTACCTCAATGGTGTTGAGCACCCAGAGGATGGTGTCAAGCGCCCAAGGGATGGCGTCAAGCACGAGTTGCATGATTATAATGTGATGATTTAAGTTGTTTTATGATTGGATGATAATGATTAAGTTGTATGGTGATACTCATTATGCTTTGAGTTGATAGGTTATTTAATGATATTTATGTTGATAGGTTGTAAGTTGATAGATGATGATGGTGTATAGTTGTATGATGTTATAGTTTATTAAGTTGTTAGGCATGTGGTGTAAATGTATGTCTTTGTTGAGATACATAAAAACTATAGGAGAGTAAAAGATGTTTTAGAAATTAAAATATCTCATTGTGGGATATAAGTTGTAGTACTACGAGAGTCTGGTTGAAAATTTTTCAGTAAGTAAGTTGGCTTCTAAATAAGTAGTTATTTTAAATTGTCTCCTCTAAAGTTTATGTGAAATCTATATGTGAGTAAGGTCGAGACATACCTGTATAAAATGACTAACCTAGTAAAGTACAAGGTCGATGACTTAGCCCCTAATTGAGTTCAAAAGGATGTAATATTTAGAGGGTAGTCGATGAGTTAATTCCATAAGAGGTCTAGTGTTGTAAGCTAATGTTATGGTAGGCTCATATCCAAACTATTCTACCTTGTACTATATTTCTTAGTTTAAGTGACAAAACATAAGAAATCAAATTTAAGTTATAAAGTTGACATTCTTTGAGGCCTAAAGTTGTCTATACTTGACCTGATTGGAATAGGTTAAATATTGCGAACCGGTAGGGTCTAGCCACTTAAATTATTCATCTCTGTTGTATGAGATTTTAGTAATTGATATACGTGACAACGCATTAGTTTTTTAAAGTTGTTATGAAGATATTGTTGTGGCGTTATAAGTTGTTGAAATATTGGTATGATGATATGGTTTATAAGTTGAAGTTGATATGTAGAGTTGAATTAATTGTTGATTAAGTTGTTTACATTGTATTATTGTAAACTAATGTTGTGAACGTATGTTGATTTTATTTCACAAGCTTACTCTTTCTTTTTCTTGTGGTTGAAACTACAATGATCATACTTTGTTTGGGAGTAAGACAAGAATAACAAGTTTGCTTGGATGATTAGTAGTGACTGGTAAGTCATATTGGTGATGGCTTTTTAGTTTGATGTTATTCTAATATAGTATGGTTGATGTTTAGACGTTTAACTGACGACTATGAGTTATTTTGTGTACAATTATGTAGTCATTGTAGATCATATATATGTTTACAAAATATATATGTAATCCTGTAAAAGGATTTGTTCATTTAAGTTGTTTTATTTTCTATCTTATATATGTATATATTATATGAATAATCAGGTAATTATTACATGAAAATCTTATATTAATTTATTTGAGTTGATATTTTTGTTGAGTAATAATTGAAGTGTATTAAATATAGAAACTTGTTGAGTTGTTATATTCTTTTTCTTTTTCTTATACGATTAATAAAAAAAAATTCCAAATATTACATCTATATCATATGGAGTCTATATCACATGGAGTGTACTATATCATATAGCTCGGCTAGTTAAATAAATACATAAATAATTGTATTAAATACATCCGCCTCATATGAATTATGCTACATAGTTTTTTTTTTTTTTGCCGGAATGTAGCTTTAAATTATTATTATATATATATATATATTAAATTTAAGTAACAATCTATTTTTAGCTATACAATAATATAATTTTTAATACGATGCATAATGAAAATTTCTTAAATTTATTTATTAATTTAATGCCGTTAAAATATATTTAATAATTACTCAGCTTAACTCAACGCATTATAGTGATCTGATGGTAACTCTCCATTAAAACTTTCGGGTTCTCCTAACTAGAACATAACCGTTAAAAAAATACAAGTCAAATTTCCATTTATATATTTTTTTAAGGGAGTTGCTACGGTACCCTCAAAGATCGAGGGGTTCCAATACATTTTTCTATGTAAACTCATAAAATTTTTTAAAAAAATTAATTTAATTATAAAATGAATAATCTAAATTATATTTATAAAATAAAAAGTAAGATAAAATTATAAAAATTAAAATTATAAGATTTCAATAATATTATAAAATATTAAAAAAAAGAAAAATTAATAAATAGTAAAAATAAAAAATTATTAAAATTACAATATAGAAATTCAAAAATTTATGACAAAAAGACAAAAAAAAAATACTTAAAAAATTATTAAAATTAAAATATAGAAATTCAAAAAATTTAAGTGAAAAAATAAAAATAAACTTAAAAAATTATTAAAATTAAATTATTTAAATATATAATAATATTATTGCAAATAAATTAGAATATATAAAATAAAAAATAAAATAACTAAATAATTTAAAAATTGAAAGAATAAAATATTATAAATATTATTTAAATAAATTATTAAAAATATAAAATATTAAAAACTGTACCGGTACCCTCTCAAATAAGATGGGTACCATAGAATCTCTCTTTTTTTAATGAAGAGCGCCCCCACAACATGAATCTTTTCGGAACTATGCATGCCAAGGAAAAAATGGTCGCATGTCTACGTGGAGAAAGATAGGGGAATAAAATAAACAAAACCGACAATCCACACAATTATCAATAAAATTTGTCTCAACATTTCAAATTATCAATGCAGACACCGATTGATTTGAAGAGAATGGCTACCATATTTCCCTAAATACGACTGTACTAAAATAGATTATACGATGATAACTCATTATTAATCTAAACATTATCAGGTAACAGGGGATTTTTCTACTAATTTACGTGCTCTGTACGGGTTTTACTATTAAAAGAGAAGATAAATAACATTATAAAAAGATTAAAAAAAATGAATGAAAAATAGGAAAAAGGTGAAAAAGAACAAAAGGAAAGAAAGAGGAGACAAACATTGAAGCTCATCCATTGCCAACAAACAACCACACTCATATGGCGTTTATTTTCAATTAAATTAAATTTCTCTGACAATTCATTACCCGTTTTGGCCTATATATATTCTCATGACCCCCATCTTTCCGGTGCCACACTTCAAACCAAGCTTTTCTTCATACCAACTTGCCATAATCACTCCCCAGTTCTTCCATTTAAACCGCTAAACACCTCTTTCTCTTCTTTTAAAACCTTCCACCTTGGTTAAATATTCTATCATTTTATTCTGTCCTACTCCTTTCCTGCCATAAATATAACCGATGAAATGAATGAATTCCCATGATTCCAGAATCATCACCAAGTATTAGTAAAGTACACTAAATTACCCCATCCTAGAACTTTCTTTTCATTGTTTATAGCCCAATTGGTGCATATATATAGTTATAGTTTTATACATAACCCAGGAGATAGCTAGCAAGCTTTCTTCACTTCTGAAAGCAAGGTTAATTTAAATTTCCTTTGTGGTTCATTTTCCATGGCTCCCCCTGACGATACGGTGAATCCCACCTTGGAACTCAAGTCTCTCGAAAAGATGTTTGATTTAAGCGACGGAAAATTCACCGTGAGAGGCGTGCCGTTACTCTCTCAGGTTCCCAATAATGTGACTTTCAGTTCGTTCTCCTCACTCTGTGAACCCCGTGACGCCCCACCTTCCATCCTTCAACGTGTCATTGCCGCCTCACACAAAGGTGGCTTCTTCGGATTCTCCCAGGTTTCCCCTTCTGACAGGTTGACAACCTCCCTCGGAAGCTTCAGCGGCAGAAGCTTCCTCAGCATCTTCCGCTTCAAAACCTGGTGGTCTACCCAGTGGGTCGGAAACTCCGGTTCAGACCTACAAAAAGAAACCCAGTGGGTCCTCATAGAAATCCCCGAAACAAAATCTTACGTTGTAATTATTCCCATCATTGAAAGCAGTTTCAGGTCCGCTCTTCACCCTGGCTCTGATGGCCACGTCATGATTTGCGCCGAGACTGGTTCTACTCAAGTGAAAGCATCGACTTTGGGTGCAATCGCCTACGTCCACGTGGCGGAAAACCCTTACAACTTGATGAGAGAAGCCTATAGCGCTCTCAGGGTTCACCTCGGTTCGTTCAGGTTGTTGGAGGAGAAAACCGTTCCCAGAATCGTTGACAAGTTCGGTTGGTGCACGTGGGACGCGTTTTACTTGACTGTCAACCCTGTTGGGGTTTGGCATGGTCTTAAGGATTTTGCTCAAGGTGGTGTGTCCCCCAGGTTTCTTATCATTGATGATGGATGGCAGAGTTTGAATTTTGACGGTGATGATCCCAACCAGGATGCTAAGAATCTTGTTCTGTGTGGGGAACAAATGAATGCAAGGCTTCACAGGTTTGATGAAGGTGACAAGTTTAAGAAATATGAATCAGGACTCCTCTTGGGACCTAATGCTCCTTCTTTCAACCCAAAGACGGTAAAGGAGTTGATTGCGAAGGGGATTGAAGTTGAGCGTTTGGGGAAGCAGCGTGATAAGACCATCTCATGTGGCTCTGATTTGAGTGAGATTGAGTCGAGGATCATGAAGGTTAAGAAGGAAATTGAGGATCTCTTTGGTGGGGAAGGGAAAGAATGTGGAGGGTGTTGTTCCAAAGCAAAGGAGAGTGGTGGGATTAAGGCTTTCACAAGGGACTTGAGGAGTGTGTTCAAAGGTTTGGATGATGTTTATGTGTGGCATGCGCTTTGTGGCGCGTGGGGTGGTGTGAGGCCAGGAGCTACACACCTGGATTCCAAGATAATCCCTTGCAAACTCTCCCCTGGCCTTGATGGGACAATGGAAGATCTTGCTGTGGTTAAAATCGTGGAAGGTTCCATTGGCCTTGTTCATCCTCATCAAGCTAATGACTTTTATCATTCCATGCACTCTTATCTTGCCCAATCTGGTATTTCAGGAGTCAAAGTTGACGTCATTCATGTGAGTCAGTTTTGTTATTTTCTTTCCTTTTTCAGTAACTAGATTCGATTATTTTCTTGATCCCAATATTTTGAAAAGAGATGATTTTGATCTTTTATTTCTATAATAAGTAAATTTATGAAACTTACCAAAATTAGGGTAAAAAATGAGAATTTTTTCTGAAGACATAAAGATTGACACCAATTTTAATCGAGAAGTAACGGATGTAAAACACGTTTTCATCACTGTACATGCAGTGTCTTGAATATGCGTGCGAGGAATATGGAGGCAGAGTCGAGCTTGCCAAGGCTTATTACGATGGGTTGTCAAACTCCATTGTCAAGAATTTCAATGGAAATGGAATCATCGCTAGCATGCAGCAGTGTAACGACTTTTTCTTCCTTGGAACCAAGCAAATTGCCATGGGAAGAGCTGGTAAACATTATACACTCAACATACGATGTATATCATTAAATTTTGTTGTCCTAAGAAGTTGACCGAATTCAATTCAATAAAATTTGATTTCAGGGGATGACTTTTGGTTCCAAGATCCCAATGGGGACCCAATGGGAGTGTTCTGGTTACAGGGGGTGCACATGATACATTGTTCCTACAACAGCTTGTGGATGGGGCAGATGATTCAGCCTGATTGGGACATGTTCCAATCGGATCATGTGTGTGCCAAATTTCATGCGGGTTCGAGGGCTATTTGCGGTGGTCCTGTCTATTTGAGTGACAGTGTGGGCTCTCATGACTTTGATCTCATTAAGAAGCTTGCGTTCCCTGATGGTACTGTCCCCAAATGCATATACTTTGCCCTTCCAACAAGAGACTGTCTTTTCAACAACCCTCTCTTTGACCACAAAACTGTTCTCAAAATTTGGAACTTTAATAAGGTGCTTATGTTACTCACATTTTATATAAAATTTCAATACCACATAGTTGTCATTTAGTCTAATAACAAATTTGTTAACAGTATGGAGGAGTTATTGGTGCTTTCAACTGTCAAGGGGCTGGTTGGGACCCTAAGGTGCAGAAGATCAGGGGTTTCCCTGAGTGCTACAAGCCAATATCTTGTACTGTTCATGTAACTGAGGTTGAATGGGACCAAAACAAGGAAGCATCCCATATGGGTAAGGCAGATGAGTATGTTGTGTACCTCAATCAGGCTGAGGAACTGCATTTGATGACTCACAAGTGTGAACCACTCCAATTTACTATCCAACCAACCACTTTTGAGCTCTACAACTTTGTCCCACTCACAAAGCTAGGTGGTGGCATCATCAAATTTGCACCAATTGGGCTAACAAATATGTTCAACAGTGGAGGGACAATTCAAGAATTGGAGTATGTTGAGAAGGGTGCTAAGCTTAAGGTCAAGGGTGGTGGGAGATTCCTTGCTTACTCAAGTGAATCTCCAAAGAAGTTGCAACTCAATGGTTCTGATGCTGCCTTTGAGTGGCTGCCTGATGGCAAATTAACTCTCAACCTTGCTTGGATTGAAGATGCGTGTGGGGTTTCTGATTTGGCAATTTTCTTTTAGCTTTTGTTTTGTGGTTGTCACTTGTCACTTACCTCGTTATGTTTACCAAGAGTGAAAAACTGAAAATGTAGTTTTAATGTAATAACGGTTCGAATGTCTATCATGTTATAAACTATACAGTAGTGTATGTTCCTTTTTTTTATCTGTATGCTTGTCTCCTTGTAAATTGAAAACCAAATTGATCTTTTTTTTTTTAGCAGGAAACCTGTTTTTTCGACGCATATTTAATCGATAATGGACTTTTAAGCAAATTGAGAACAAAAAAGGTTAAATGTTGCGGCATCGGGCAATATGATATTGATAGCATTTCACTCATGGTTGATTGATTATTAACAGGCTTTTTACCCTAATTGTACAACTTCGATTCTTATTTTTCAATTCGTGATTTCAAGTTTGATATTACAATTTTACTTATCATTTGACGTATAATATTACCCCAATACGGAGCCTTGAACTTTTTACTGAAAATCAATTAATTGTACAAACTTTTCATTCCATTTTGAACAAACTTAACGGCTATTTTAATATTTTTTAGTCAATTGATAACGCGACGGTAGTTGTTATCCTTTGAATTTGTTCTTGTTCCGGTATTGGAGACCGCCGCCGAAGAACCCTTAGCGATACCGAGCTAAAAGAACTTGACAGCAGTCTTGACCTAGAACATTCGATGAGAGTAACCTGCCGCCTTAGACCTAATCATTGTTATATATAACGGTGTAGCGTTATAGACATGAATCGCACTTATGATCCCATAAATCACGCCTCATTATGGACTCGTAACTCCCGGTATTTATTACCGTTCCCACGGATCGTGGGATCTTATTGATTGTCCGAGTGAGTCAGTTAATCTCCCCATATTTGGGTCCCTCTTGTGTGATCGGCATTTTACCGACCTGCCTCTGGTCGGCCAATCTGATCGGCCAATGGGAGACCACCACGGTACATAGCCCTCCATGCTCGAGCACTAAGGTGCGAAGAGCATGTTAGATCGGTATTTTACTGACGTGCCTTGGATCGGCCAATATGGTCGGCCAATGGGAGACCACCACGGTACATAGCCCTCCATGCTCGAGCACTAAGGTGCAAAGAGCATGTCAGATAGGCGCTTTGTTGACCTTTTCCGACCTTAAAGTGCTATTCACACTAAGGTTTTGGGTCGTCTAAATGCCGACCTTAAGTGCTCGTTGCACCAAGGTATTGATCTTCTAAATTACGACCTTAAAGTGCTCGTCACACTAAGGTTCGGATCGACAAAATGTCGACCTTAAAGTGCTATTCACACCATGGTCTTGATCGTAAAAAGTCCGACCTTAAGGTAAATAAATTATCATTATAAAAAAATTATTACATAATAATATACATTTTATAATAATATTGTGACACCCTCTACCCCAACATAAATACAATAGATATAAACCATCTATATATAAATTCTTTCTTAATCTAATATAAAATAATTATCTCAAGTATCATTGGGTAAAAGATGCACATTCATAATTTTCAACTATAAGTATCAAATTGTCAAGAAATAATAAAATAAAGATTATAGATTAATCCCAGTAAAGGTGGCAGGGCCTCCTAGTTAGAAATTAACTTATAATCTTTTAGAAAAATTATAATATGACAAAAATACACACTTTCAACATAAATAACATAAAAATTACAAAAGAAAAATAATAATAATTTAACAATAAGTCTAGCTAATCCCGATGTCACATCCTATCAGAGCGAAACCCAAACAGAAGCCTAAGCTTCACCACCAACATCCTCAGCCTCATGCTAATTATCTGCATCATAATTTAAATATACACAAAAATGACAAGGGAGTGAGAAACTTCTCACTCAGTTGCAGATATAGAAATAAAAGTTAAATAGCACACACACACGAAGAAGAAGCAACTGGAGAATTTGAATGATGAAGTCATTATATAAGTTGCAAAGTGCAAACAAGAAGCTGAAAGAGAGCATAAATGCTAAGGAGAAATCGTGGGCTGAGATCGAAGGTTTTGAAAACGATTGAGATTGCTGAGGAGGTCAAAAAGTTGTCTGTTAAGATTCCAAATCTCAAGCCATCAAAAATTCCTCACCAAGAAAGTTTACGTATCGACCCTTTCTCTTTTTTGCTATTGGTGGATTTGTAGAAGTTTAATTAAATATGCTACAATAAATTAAAACTTTATTGGTAAATTTTTAATTTACAATTTTGATGCTGAAGAAATAATTATCTATACATGAAATTCGCTTTATTTAGTCACAACTTTGTAAGAATTTAAAGAAGATATCAGAAAAAACCTTTATAAGATTAGAAAAATATCAAAATTAAAAATCAAAAAACAAAAACAACTCCAAGCATGAATGTCAATTTTTGTTAGAGATATGACCATCATACTAAAACCAACAAGTAGGAAAATAGACATAATTCAAGTATTGTATCCAAAGATACTTACGTATTTTCAACACCAAAAAAAAAAAATACTTACGTATACTTACTCATATTTAAATTGATACCAATTAAGAAATGATTGTATTTAAAAATTGTTATAAGAATTTAAAGAAAAATAGTACAAGAATAATTTTAGGCTTTTCTAATTGAATAAATTACAAAGAAAAAATGGATGTAAATTGATATGAATAAATATATTGGTAATTTTGATTTAATTATATTGTTCTTACATGTACCAAATAATCACTTATTAGGTTATTAATCTAACAACTAATAAATTTATTTAAATTGAAACTCTGGTTTCTTAAGCATTAGAGTTTAAATCCTTTTATTAAACTTTCAATTCATTGCAAAGATTATGAGTGATCAAGTCACAATAAATTTAAGAGTAAAAAGAGAAAACAATTTACTAAATAAAAGCCTTGGAGATTTTGGTCTAGCTACATGATCATCCAACACATATATAAGTTTAGCTACTCATAATCATGAAGAAGACAAAGATAGTGGTTATAGATATCATTGAAGAGCTTTGTAGTATTAACTTTTCTCCAAGAAGATTATATCAAAATGAGATCATTTATAACTTTTTTTTAGCGTGCCTTTATATATCATAAATTATAATGAGTGTTGTTACCATTGCGATTAAGTACATCAAAGTGATTTACTTGAACAAGGCTTCTTTGAATCCTTTTTATAATAATGTTATCCTTTTAAGTGTGAGTAATTTGCACTTAGGGAAGATTTGATGATGAAAATTCTCCTATTTGATTTTGTTTAAATGTGAATTTTTATTAAAAAGTTTTTCATTGATCTTGCTTAAACAAGCTTGTTTTTTAAATTTGACCCTTTCAAAGTTTAAATTCATAATAAATTTAGAATCAATATATACTCGCAAAAATAAAACATATAAAACAATTTAACTCTGATCATAGAAAACGCAAACTTGATGGAATTAGCTAGGAAAATCTTTACAAATATAAACATGAATAATAACAAAAGATAATATAATAAACATGCATTTGATATATACGAATACATTTTTTTATGATAAAAAAAAACTGTGACGAACTTGCTGCTACCACCTGTTAATTTATTTTTCTAAAAAAAATACTAAGTTTCTCGTATCAAACTCTAGAAGATTTTAAAAAAAAAAAAACATGTATAAATAATTTTCTTAAATTCAAGAATTACAAGATTAGGATTTTCAAAATTTTTCAAAAACTGGAAGTTGGTCATCATAAACTTCTTTTAAATCACACCATTAAGAAAACATTCTTAATACCCTAAACACTGAACTAATACAAATAACAAGTAAGAAAACCTTTAACTTAATAACAGGAGCATATATGTTTCACCATAATCTATATTTCTTTATTTGGTATATCATTTTGTTATGACTTTAACTTTATTCCTCTTATTATGTCTTTTCTCATCCAACTTGTTTTGTTATTACTTTAGCTTTATTTTATTTTTTTTATCTCTTTTCTCGTCTAACTTATCTCAAAAAAACTCTTTTATGTCAATTACTTAATAATCATAGGGGTTATAAACTATCTCAAATACAATTCTCTATTTTTTATAAATTGATTAAGTTTTTTGTCGAGAAAATTCTATATTAATGGTACTAAGATTATCTTAGATTTGTTTTAAAAAAAAGTTATTTATCATTTATATACATAAGCATCAAATCTAATAGTGTTATTGAGTATGAGGAAGTGAATTTAAAAAAAATACAAGTTTCACATATTTTAGATTATTAAAAATAGTCATTTATCATTTATCCACACATCAAGTCTAATAATATTAAATTTAAAGGGATATATTAAAAAAAATAAAGTCACATATTAATTAAAAATAAAATAGATAAAAATATATAAATAAAGAAAAATCATCACCTTACAAATTAATCTTATAGAATTTAGATAGACAAAAATCATTTATTTTACATAACTAGCATCTATTTTACATAACTAACATCCAAAAAGTGATAAGAATAACCTCAACAATAGATTTAGGTTTAATTTGAAACCCTAAACCACATATAATGACAAGCAACTCTAAGAGAATGTTTACTAGAAATTCCACCTTCTTACAATTCCTTCAATGCTCTTTGTTCGTTAATATTTATTAAAACATCTACAAAATCGTAAAAGAACATTTCCAACCTTTTAGGGTGACTTCAGTAAAAAATAACATGAATAATTTTTTCTTTTTTGTCATGGCTCTCTTGTTATACAACCCACGTGACTTACCAGAGTCTGAATATCCAACAAAGATATACTTTCATTGAATTCAGCATTAAACTTTCTCAAAATATCGCTGTCATATATTATTCAATATACGCAACACTTGCAATTAAACGCATGCAAATAAAAGATGTTGGGTTTTTTGTCCTAAGAATTTCAAGGTGAGTTTTCTTAAGAATTAGTCTAATGAGTACTCTAATGATGACGTAATAAGTCGTATCACGACATCCACCGTAAAAGATTCAAGTAATTATTAACTTATATTATTATGCATAGTTCTAAGAAGTTATTCCAGTGTTTACATTCTTATATCAACAACCTTATTTGTTAAGGTGTCTCGAGGGAAGTGAAGTTGTGCTTTATCACAAAATGTTTCAAATACATGATTGTCAAACTCTCTATAATGCATGCAATGTTAAAGGTCTTTCTCATTTCACAGTTTCTTTATTAATTAACCTT